AAGTTGCAAACTGTATTGATTGAAATGCTGACCCTTTTCTCAGCTAAGGCTCACTAAGCTGCTGTTCCCAGAGTGGCGACATCGATGGGTCATAGCAAACCGCTCCACTTCCACAGCGGTTGGAGAGGAGTCATCCAAACAACTTAATACCCTCCATCTCCAGGGGAACTTTATTCAAATATAATGTTAATCAGAAAGGTCCTTCCCTAACCTGACCTCTTGCTCTTGATTAATTCAGTCTGAGAAATGGAGCTGGTTTGTTTTTCATGCCCAGCCCAACCTTCTCTTTGTTATTCAATTTAGAAATGTGTCAAATATAATTAAAACTGGCAGAGGCCAAGATTAAATCAAACAAACTGTAAACATTGCTTGTGCTATTTGGTTGATGCAAAGCTTTCACCATAAAAGGCTTTTAAATAAATGAATTCAGCTGTTACTGTGCTGCAGCACTGAGACCTTGCTCCAAGTGTTCGAACTTTTCAGGGACACTGTCAGGTCAGCTTAGATTCAAAAACTAATACACGGCTGGGATTCTGAAATTGCCTAAGGGAATTAGGTACCTGACTTCTACTGAAAGTCAATGTCTGGTGGGAAGTGAATTGACTTTCAGCAGGAGTTAGATGCTTTTGAAAAGCTTATTTATGTCCTTGTAAACAGAAGACCATGTCCTTCATGGAGATAAATTAATGTAACTCCTTTGACACCTACATACCCTGCAAAGCATCTGATACATAAATTTTACAAAACCTAAGACTAGCCAGAAAACCCTAAGAGCTACCTTTACTTATTTGATTGTATTTTGGTTAGCACTAAATATTTCCTTTCAATGTGCAATAATTATATTGTACAATAACAATATTATTAACGTGTGGCATAAGTATAAACCCAGCTTCCAGGCGATTATTCCATTAAGGACTTTCAGTTTCAGACTGCCAGGTTGCAACTTGCATTTTAACCTACTGATTTTAGCGGTACTCCTGACCTGTTAAGTGTGGATTCAGAGCCTCAGTACATCCAAAGTTTTCTCCAAAACATTTTTGCATTAAAAAACCCTCACCCATATCTCATTAGACATCATGCAAATTCATAGCAAGCAATAGGGAAACTCAGTACTTTAGAAAGGTTTCTGTCTTGTTGACTGAGATTTTAGTGCTAAGCAATACGGCATTAAAATTTAGATTACACAGGTTTGAAAACAGATCCCTGGCTGTTTGATGCTATTTTCTTTAATTCCTCATCACTACTTTAAATAATAATGCAAGAAATGTGATGTTGTCTGTATTTTTACTGTAACTTATTTTTCACACAGGATGGGCATTTGTCACTCCTATGCTAAATTCTGCTTTTTTTGGCACATGTATGTTTGTGTCTCCACATGTTTTACAACTTTAATAACCTGATGTTACATTATGAACTGAGCCTTTGGGGATTTCTCTGTCCAATGACTTTAGGAAAACAACTGTAGTAGTACCATTGGACTGGAGTCAGAAATTTCCGATCTTAAAAGTCATCTTATTTATCCCAAAATATTCTCTAAGAATTCTACTGGTCTCCTAGGTAAAGCTACCTCATTCAACGTTCAGTGTGGCTGCTAGAGGGGGAACTCAATGACAAAGTCAGAGGTCTTTTGGGGACAGGATGACACCATGATACATGATGGCACAGTCTCAGAATGTACAGGTCCTTCATCTCTGGAACTGCAATTCACATCTGATTAGAGATGATTAGAGAAAATTAGTGTGCTTATTCCCTCTTTATCTTCAGTGCACATGAAAACTGGCCACAAAACCACTGCAGGGAGCCTTGCAACTAGCAGGCTCAGGTCATGAGGAAGCCAGTGCTTGAGAGAGCAGAAGGTCAGGACTGATCAATGAAGACAGAGCTAGCATACAGCAAAGATCTCATACAGCCTTGCCCAATCTATTTGATCAAGACTACATATTAGTCCCTTGCTTTCATAACCATAGAAGTTTTCAGATCTATCGAGAACAGCTAATAAAGATTCCTTTGTGGTGATGGGTAAGTGAGGCTTGGTATCACAAAGAATAGAAAGGAGCAATGTAACTAACCGTCTCATGTCTTGGGAGCAGTTGAAACCATCTGAAGACCATCTTAATGCTCTGCTACTAGGATGTGTTATATTCTAAAAGCTAAATAATCTCTGTTGAATTGACTACACAAATTGTAATGTTTTATCTATTTCCATCAGTTTATATGTTTTTCTCTCCTTCAATTTGCTTTCTCACCTATTTGCAATGAATATTGCTCTGTGTTTAGATTTCCAGAACCAAATTTTGAAAGCTAATTAGATATGGAAGGATTTGAGTGAAAATCCTATATGGAAGCCAGATCCTTCATTAACAATGACACAAAACTATATAATGAATGAACTAAAGAAACTTCATGTTTTGTCTATTTGTCTAAGATGATAATGCGCATTGACTCAATCACCTGGAAAAGGGAACAGTGTTGAGTAACTTCTCCTGTCTTCAGTGCTCAGCAAAATCTCACATTTGCAACCCAGAGTTAATAACTGGCATAAATGGAGAATTAAGCTGCACTTTTCAAGACTATGGCTGTTCTGCCCAGGATGAGAGCCCTGCTTAAGCAATGGGTCAAGTCCTAAACTATTTCTGCTAGTTGGCAGCATGAGGAATACTTCTGTAACAATGAGATCTTACGGTTACAGGCAGTGAACAGAGGCATTGCTGAATGAATATGGAAAGAAGGCTTCAGAGCAGTACTTTTTTCTTTTTATATCCAAGTATTTTTATTAAGTGAGATTGAGACAAAGAAGGTCTTGGGAGGAAAAAAAAAGGTGTAACAACGTAACGGGCACAATAATATAATCTAAAATAACTCAGTGGTAATTTTTGCTAATACATAACCCCCCGAAAAAAAAGTCTGACTGCTTTTCCCACCAAAGTTAGGGTTTGGGAGCTGATTCAGATTTTACATGGATGCAAATATGAAGGGACACTATTAGAAGTATTCCACTGCTGCACAGCTGAGTTGGTATCAGGATTTGGACTAACGGCTTCAGCTTGAAGCTCTCCTTGCAACTAAGGACAGCAGGATTTGACTTTGAATCAGGACATTTTAGCTGTAATATGTCAAAAAAGCTTGCAACTCTTTTCAGTAGTTAAGTATATTTGTTTAATATTTGGTTTTACTTTATTATAGTAAAGTATTCCAAGAGGTATGTTTTTGTTTTCAAATACAAATATTGCTTAAAATGAGTATTAAAATGTTATTCTACAGTATTAGGAATGTAAATAAAAGAACTTTGGGCCAGAATGAAGAAAAAAGGATATATTAATTCCTAATACAAATTAAACTGAGGAGGCTATCATCTGCATTGTTCCGTAGGAGAGAAATTAAGAACTGCATAATGGTGTTTTAAATTCTCTAAAATTGTAGTATTCTGCAAGGTTTTCTAGCTGTGAGAAAACATTTAGTCCTGATGCATGTACTGTTCTTTTCAGGGGGAATTGGATCAGGTCCTTTGTGACCAATTCTGCTTATTTACACTCTCATATACTGTTTAGCTTTAATGCATTGCATGGTTACAGGAGAATCAGGAATTCAGCCCAGGCTTCCTTAAATTCTTGCTAGACTTTATGTTAATTTAATCCCTTATTTCTCCAGTTATGTAATACAAAAGATGATTTCACTGTCATTAAAGATCACCTCTTTTCCTGTTTTCATATTCTTCTCACTATTATTCTTCTTCTCATTGAAGTCTCCTTTCTAGTCGTAATGAATGCTTGGAGCATTTCATTGAGAAAAAATGAGGAGTTAAACATTTTCTATTTCCCTAATCAAGGCCCTGTCATCATCATCACCGAAAGCCAGAAAAACAGGTGAAGAACGACAGAATCACATGAAAGGTAAAAAGGACACTGCCAAAGTGATTTTGTGATCACAGTTGCTTATAATAATACACTGAATGTTGGCATGGCAATCTAATTGCATACTAATGCCTGCTATGTAAACTTGGTTACTAGTTGCATTACATAATGCCGATGCTCAATTGCTTCAGTTACAACTGAGAAAAATATGAACAGAAATTTGGAAAAGTGTCTGATTGTTATTGTGGAACAATTCATACAACTCATCAGTATGGCAGTTTTCAATTTAACTTGATATTTGTGAAACAGAAAGGCACAATGATTAAATTCTAGAAGAAAAAGTAGCCTAGAAAAAAATCACGTGTTTTGCAAATGGAGTGAAGAAAACAAAAGTAGTATAAATTTTTATTCTATCACTTTTGACAGTATCCTTTTAAAGGGAAGACTAAATTAAATTCTAAAGGCCAAATTCTCTTCTCATTCACATCACAATAGCTCCAGAATAGTCCTACCAACTTTCATAGAATTACTCCAGATTTACACAAATATTAATTGCAGCAGAAGCTGGCTTTTCAAGCCCAGCTATTTCACATAGGAATGCATTTTAAGAAGTGATATATAAAAGAAAATAGTTTGGGGGTTTTATTCCATTAAATTAGATGTGCAATATCACAGAAAAAGGCTGATTCCTCTTTTGCTCTCAGATAAGCTCCTTTTAGAAAACAGATATGATGAGAGTAAGACAGAAAGCTCAGAACAATCTTTGAACTAAGAATGTATTCAGTACACACACTTGGTTTCTTCCCATACCACAGATTTCCTATCCTGAAATCTGTATTTCACATAAATGGAGGAGAGCAGGACATGGAAAATTGATCTGAAGGCTAAATTAAATTTCTCCTGCAGTGACCTGCTTGAGGAACAGAAGGAAGGGGAAGAAGGAAGGCTGAGATTGGTGCAACTCAAAGAGCAAAGACATTAAGTGACAGCCCCCCCAAAGTGTCAGAGGTCTTCTAACAGGAGGTATGCCATTCACATCCATCCCACCCTCTGGTGACACTCTCTCCCTAGCTATTTCCACTTGATTCATGTTGTTTCTCTACTTGTTGAAATGGTTCACACTGTTTCACTGTTATTACTGTTATTATTTTACCTATCCACACTTGTCTCTGCCAGTCTGTTATTCATAATTGCTAGGGCTCCAACCCCACCAGAGAATCCATTTTGCTTTGAATTACAGCTCATTTGCCTCGGATAGCCATTAGCAGTTTCCGAGAGCTGTTTCTGCATGATGGCCAGTGAGACTTTATTGGAGGCCAGGAAATCTTTCATGGAGATCATCTCGCCTGACAGCCGGCGTCCGTCTGTGTCGCTGTCATTGACAACATCAGTCTCAATGGAGATGTTCCTCCGGCTGCGCACATTTCCTGGCATTACCACGTTCCTCCGTGAACGAAATAATTTTCTTTGGCATCTGTGGCAGCACCTGCAGTCCAGCTTCTTTAGTATCCAGTTTATGGATTGTTTGATGACAATAGAGATCACATTAAATAAGGAATAGATGCAGCACACCCCCATGAGTATGAAGACGAAATTGCCAAAGCGGTAAAGGCCTTGGCTCTCATACTTGATGTTCTGGCTGCTGACCAGATCACCGAAACCAATGGTGCTAAAGGCCACGAAGCAGAAGTAAAGTGAGTCAAAGTAACTCCACCCTTCAATCGGTGTGTACATTGCAGAGGCACAACAGGAAATGATGAGTGATGCTACACACAAAATCAGCATGACGTAGTACACAGAGGGCTTCCAGCCCGCCAGGCTGTCCACCTCAGAGGTCCCTGAGCCCCGTCGGCTGTTGTGAGGAAGGACCCCTTTCCTCCTCAGCTGTCTTTCATGGCAGGACTTCATGACGTAGGCTATGACAGTGATCAAGCGCTCCAGGAACAGGTTAAAGAACAAAATGGTCCCTGCACATCCTATAAGGCCGTAAAATATCAGAAAAATTTTGCCTCCAACGGTGGCTGGGGTGGTCATGCCAAACCCTGGAAGACAAAACAGAACAGTTGAAAAAAATAAACTTGCAGTTATCGTGTCAGGAGTTTTGTCACATGCAAGACTGACAAACTGGCAGGAAATCCCTGTGGTACAGTTCAGCTCTGGGAAAAAGCGAGGGCACACTCCCCAGCTGTTATCCACTTGTGCTTGACCATGTGCCAGCAGTAAGGGGAAGGAAAGTTATGCCAGCATTTCCTCCAGAATCAGAATGAAACAAAAAGCAGAAGAAAACACACTGGAAAGAAAAGAGAATTTAGTGGAGGTCTGAATTGTTGTCTGGTTGCTAGGCTCTCTCCATCCGTCTTTGTGCCTTGGATCACTTCCAGGCTTTGGGGTTATTGCACCCGCATCCTTCTCTCCGATGCTGTTTTCACCATGGGTCTGACCCAGGGTGGGGCTCTTGCCTTGCAGGGGTCCATCCCCACCAGATCTTTGCAATGCAAGGTGAAATTGTTCTGAGCCTCACTTAGCTCCTGCTGTAAGTGGGGGTGGCACATCAGCCAGCACCCAGCACCCGCCGCAGCTTGGCTGGGGAAGCCCAGGCTGGGAGCACACACCGGAGGACGCAGCCCCTGACAGGGTCAGCAGCCTCTTGTGGGGATCCCCAGCAGGCGTTAGAGCTTCCCCGTGTCTGAACTTGGTGTCTGTCACCCATTACCAGCCCTTTTTTAAATCAGCATTGCTGAAGTTTTCCTATTTCTCTGTGTCCCACTCCACAGTTAAGTCTGTATGTGAGTCTTAACAGAAGTCTCCTCTGGTCTCATTCTCTGTCGTGGGATTTCTCAGGTCAGAGGTGCTTCAGTCTTCTCTCAAATCCCTCCCTTCCTAAAGCTTGCAAATAGTAGTTTTGTTTTGCTTACAACTATTGATAAGACAATCTTGCTTTAATAAGATATTACTAAAGAACAAAAAGCATGTCCAGAACATCACTGAGCAAACTGGAGTCATACTCATGATAAATAACTTTGCTGCTGTTTTATTAGGATTAATAAGGGATTACATAACCGATAATTAAGCCAAAACAATCTTGCTGAGAGGACAGAAAAATCACATTGGACAAGAGACACAGTTATTTGTTTCCCTCTCTTTGTAATTGTGAGATGCTAATTATGAAATAAAGACATTAGGCTCTGGGAAATAAAGGAAATCATACTCAGTGTGATGTGCTTGTGCTTGGAAGACAGAAAACTGCAGTCTGAAGAGACCATGTTTCCAACAGTGCTGAACTGCACTCATCTTCCCTTCACTGGAAATCTGCTACCAGCACAGATTCCTCTCCAACACTGCTCCTGCCTCACATGGTTAAGCAACAGCCTTTGCCTTCACCCCTCCAGCATGACCCACTCTGAACGACAGCCCCAAGAGTGGGCTCTCGAGGGTTGCTGCGTCTTCACCTGCATCCACAGCCAAACTGCAGCGTCCAGAGATGCTACAGGAGGCTTAAGCCTCCTCACCAAATTTCTGTGCCAGAGAGAGCTGGACTGCAGCTCTGTGTTGTGGGGAACAGCGCGACAAGAGGCTAACGACACAGACAAAATGTTCGTTGTGACAAGAACTTTCTGCCATTGTTCCCCTTGGCACACAAATATTTCCACTCGCTTTCTACCTTCCCCTTCTGCTCCATGACCTGATTGCCCTACAATCCTCATTTTGATGCTTATTTTCTGTGCAGGCTGACTTATATGCAAGTCATGACCTCCACCCTGTGGACAGACACGTAAAGACCAATGGATGAGAGGAACCTCTCTGCAGCTGGTGGGATCTGCCCAAAGCAGCTGGCGGTGGGGGGCTGCCGCGTCCCTGGCCCACCCTGTTCGTTGAAGAAGAGAAGCAGCTGCAGGCTGGGCAGAGACGGAAAGGTGGGGAGCCTCTGACACAGGGTGAACAGCGTGGGACTCCACACATCTCTCACAGCATAAAGCAAGTGCCTTGGCAAGAGAAATGCAGTTAAGGCTCACACCTCCAGCGTGGCATTATGCCTTTGGGCTGCTTCCCACAGGCCCCTCTCGGGATCCTGCCGCTGGCACCACGGCCAGAGCCTGAGCTCCTCACGTTCGTTTGTTTAGTTGACTGGATTTTTGTCTCTGAGCTCAGTTCTGCGTGGGTAAAAACCCACTAGCGAAGGCTTTACAAAGGCACCCGAATAGGCATGGTGGGAACTACACGGTGAACTATAAATACCAAAAGACGCAGAACATTGATCCAGAGAGGCAGTGAGCCTCTGAGTGTGACTGTCCCTTGACAGCTCTTCCTCTCCAGGAGGGGCACTCTTTTTACCTCCTGGAGGAAATGTAATTTTTTGTTCATTTTTCTATTTACGAATCTCAGTATGTAGCAATCAATACTAACATTTCCAAAGAAGCACTAAAGTGGAAAACCTGAAAGCAGTATAAAGATATTAATTTAACAAGTATTTTCCTTTAAAGATCATTTCTCAAAAATGAGCTATAAGCTTTTAGTCCCAGAAATAATTTCAGTTCTTGAAATGCCTTGTAAGTCCATGTATTGGGCCGCACCATGCCTGGTTAACTTTGACCATCACTGTATTACACCTGGGATTAATTTGGGATGCTGTATTATAGACTAGGACTTGTTTGACAGTAAGTACATTTTTCTTCAAATGGACTCCTGGGATGCTTGAAATATTCATAAATCCAAGTAAATTTGGTGAATTGTTTCAGCCAAGAAATGCAGGAGGGCAAAATTGTAAAAGGCTGAAACAGTTGAAACTAAATTAAATCTTTTCTTTTGGCATTTTCATGATAAAACTTCTAATTTCAAAATCACAATTACCTTTTAGCTAAATAAAATTCAGTTTGAAGTAAAAAGAATGGAAAAAATTATTTGAAAAATCTTTCAGAATTTTAAAGGTTTCATCGTCTTAAAATGGAATGCAATATTTCACTAGTGGTCAAATAAAACCCATCAAAAATTTCATTAGATTTTGTCCTTCTGAAAGACCTAAACCTAATCTGTTCCAACACAACTTCAGGTTAAGTTTTTGTTCTAATTTTTCTTGCTGGCTGTGAAATAAGAAATGCGTTGCTCATTAATCTCTGCTAAAACATGAATTCTTTCAAAAACCCTTTTCATACAACAGCCCTGCAAACACTAGCTGGAAGTAAATGATTATTTTAGTGGGATCTGCCTCTTCTTTTCCCTAACTTTCTTCAAGGAAAAATGTGGCTCAATCATGGACAAAAAGGCACATCAGTAGGATTCGTTCTTTTTATAGTAATATTACTGATGATCTTGTGCTGTGCAAACACAGAGTATCTATGGATAAATCTATTCCTTCATGAGGTCAGTGAGAGCTCTCACACTAAAACTCTGCCCTTTCACCTAAGGGCACCAAAAGAAGCCTGTTGTCTGCATGCTGGGTTCATACACACTACTTGGGCATCAGAAAAGCCATGAGCTGTTCTCTCTGAAAGCAAAGACAATGCTTAGCACAGCAATGTCTGTCCTGGGGGCGGGTGTCTCCATACATCCCCTCTGCATCCTGGGCCTGGTGAGGGCTTGCGGTGGCTCTTTTGCGGGAAGGGACACGAGCGAAGGCTGCTGCAGAGCCAGGTGACATCTCCACGCACCCACACCTGGTAGCTGCAAAGTGCACCTGTGCTCCCCCACCCAGAGGCAGCTTTAGTGCCTCACCATATATTTTCCAGAAGATTGATGAGACACTAGCAAAAGCAGTATTTATCCCTTCTCTTCTGCTTCAGATACTCTACAGGGCAAGGGACTAAAAAACATGGATTCCCTACTTTGTTTGTAAAATGCTTTTTTTCCTTCCATTATAGAAAAGGAGACTGGACTCTGGGATGCCACTACAGCATTTAAAAACTGAAATATTGCAGATTTTTTTTTTTTCCCAAAAAGGTAATGTTAATAAATGCCTGGCAGATCTCTGCATAGCAGCTGAGGCTTTCTCTGACATGCTACATGAGATGCTGCCTACCTGACAAACTGAACCAGAGATGAACAGGCCACCAGGTATCTGAATTACTACTAACATGCTTGATTGAGGCAGCATTTTTAATCCAAAATATTTTATTTTGCAGCTGAAATATGTCAGTTTGAAGTGTTGGCAGAATGGTAGGACACCTATTGCTCTGCCTGGTGTCTTTCTCCAGTCCCTGCACTGTCCCAGGAGAATCGCACTCCCCCTGTTTCCTGTTGGGGTATCCCAGAACTGGGCCAGCAGCCCCCAGTTCCATGTCTGTGACCTGTACAGGCAGAACTGTCCCTGAACTGTCCTCTCTTTGTAACAGAGAGTACAGCCTTACAAACAGCAGACTTTTCATTTCCAATCCCTTAAAATGTTAACCAAAGGCAAAGTCCTTATAACTTCAGTGATTCCTGCAGATGCTAGAGAAAAGACTGTGCATATAGACTTGCCAGTTCATTTTTGCTGTCTGCTTGAGATAGCTAAGTGTGTCACATGCACCTACAGGAGGTGGCCATCCATGTTTTATGTGCCAGCTGAGGGGTGTCAACTGCCCTGGGATTAGAGACTTTGGGTGAGCAGGGCCAAACTGCAAGAACACAGGACTGCCATACTGAGTCAGACTGCTGTCGTTGACAGTGAAAGGATACAAGAAAGTGTGAATAGGGAAGAAAATAGGAACAGAGTGACCTTTCCTGGGGATATCCTCCCAGCTCTCAGAAATCAGCATTTTAGAGGCTTTGAGGACATCATGTTTAATAATTTGATCATCGGTCTTGTCAAATCATTTATACGGTTGGTCTCCATTAAACCTGAGACAGTAAGTTCCACAATGTAATTGTGCTTTGTGGAAAAGAAGTCTTTGTCTAAGCTGCTGCTTGACAATTGATTTCAGGCTTCCCACTTTTGCAGTTAGCTGTAGCAATCACCATTCTCTATGTGCATTCTCCCTTCACCTTCAGCCTTCTGATTTTATAGACTTCTATTATTTTCTTCTTTCTCATTTCTTCCCCAGTCTGAAGAGGTCTACAACATATAGCCTCTAGTTTTCAATCTGCTACAACATACTTCTAACTAGCCCTATTGCCTTTCTTGTTTCTTTTCTACATTAATACAGTCTTTCCAAGATAAAGGAGCAGGACCAGAACTATATAA